ATGCAATGTAATCAATCCCCATCGATCCCATATCTGGAAAAAAAAAGGTTTTAGTTTGCAAATATTTTTAATATTTAGCATTATTTGGGTAAATGTTAAGTTTTATTACAAAATAGATCAGACAAAACTTGTAGATCATGCAATTATAATATTAATTTCTGTTTAAAGGGATTAAAAAAAAACCAGAATGATCGTATTCGCCAGTGTACTATTAGGTACACCTTTCATTATGATGTATTATTGTAGATATTATGGTTATAGTTCGAAACCATACTAATCCACAAATAGCAGGTGCCATAGATATACATGGGTGTCGTGCGATCCATGGCCCTCTATGGGGCGCCTGTCTGGTCTAATGACCTGGCGGGTGCCTCCCGCTGCAAGGCTCTACTCAGAAGCCTGCAGCGGTTGATGGCCATACGGATCGTACGGGGCTATAGTACGATCTCGTTTGAGGCGGCGACGGTCCTGGCGCGATATCCACCCTTCGACATTCTGGCCGACATGGACGCGATGGTCTATGACCAAGTTCGCTCTGTCGGTCGGAATGTTGAAGAGGCCGCGCCAGATCATGAGCCCAGAATGCTACGGTGGAAGGCGCATACGCAGGCGCTGCGGGCGTGGCAAGCACGGCTTCAAATCTAGGGCTGGGGCTGTGCTAACCAATGCATCGTCGTCGCTACCGATGGACTCAGATGCTCAGCGGACACAGTTGCTTCGGTGAGTATCTGAATCGAATCGAGTCACGGCACAATGCTACCACTGTGGGTCATACAGCTCAGCTCAGCACACGCTGGAATACTGCCCTGCATAGGAGTCCGAGCGTCGAGTTTTGGTCGAACAGATTGGACGAAACTTGTCACCACCAGCATTGATCGTGGCAATGCTGGTGAGTGGCGAGGGATGGGCAGCCACGGTCTCCTTCTGTGAGGACGTTATGCTCCAGAAGGGGGCCTCAGAGCGGGATCGGAAGAGAGCTGATCCCGCTCGAAGGAGGCAGCGAAGGGGACGCGGCAGAGGTCGCTAGCTTTTTCTTCCACTCTTTATATTCATTCATTTTGACTTCCTTTATTGCTCCACGCTTTAAAAGCACCCTTCTTTTCTTTTAGAGCTTTCTGTACCTCGTCACTCCACCACCATGTATCTCTTTCACTAATATCTTTTACTTTCGTTTTCCTAAATACTTCTCTCGCTATATTTCGTATATAATTTGCTATTTCACCCCACCATCCATCCAAAGCCTTATATAGCCTTGCATTCAATTCAATAATTTTTCTACCATCTTTACCTTAAAGCTACTTGCATACTCCTCTTTTCTCTAATTCTTGGAGAACGTCGGTTCTTCCTACTCTTACTCGAAATCTTCCATTTGACTTCCATTACCAGCAATCTATGCACATTTCAGTTTCTAAGAACAACCAACTTACATCTTTTTATAAGAAAGTAGTCGATCTACCACTTTTGATCCACCATGTGTAACTACTGCTGGGTTAAACGAAGAGGAAAACTGGAGTAGGGACTCACCATTATTCTTTCTACTTCCGAACCCCTTTCCTTCATTCACTCTTTCATAATCCTCATTCGTTGTTCCCACATGACCATTAAAATCTCCACCTATCAAAAGTTCTTCATTTTCAGGGATACCTATCATAACCATGTCAAAATCGTAAAAAAAATTCTTTCATTTTGTCCTTGCATCCAGCTTGAGTATACACGCTAATAATATTCATAATCACGCTCACCCATACTAATTTTAGTACTATTATTCTACCGTTCACTCCCTTACATTCATCACACACTCTTTCAAGTCACTATCCAATACAACACCCACTCCATTTCTCATTCCATCACTTCCCCATTAATAAAACTTGTGCCCCTCTCCTATCTGTCTTGCTTTCGTACCTTTCCATTTTGTTTCTTGCAAGCATGCCACGTTTATTCTTCTGCTTTTCAACGCGTCTGCTAGCTCTCTCGCTGTTCCAGTCATGATAACAATATTCCAACTTGCATACCTCAACCTAACCTCTCGGGCTTGCTTCTTACGTTACACCCGCCTCAGGTGGTGCAACAACCCTTGTCCATTTTTTTGCGTAGCCAGGTGCTGCTGCCGCGCCTTGTCTACAGGGTACACCCTAGCACTGTCGCACTCAATTTGCATCATACTCATACTGCAGAAATGTTTTGGCTTATTAATTTTATGGCCGGCCACCTGCCTGTCGCTAACCTTCCTAACGAATTTTATCGTTAATACGGTAGGGAAGTGAAAAAAGGAGACATTCGGTTGGGGGGTACCGCAGTACTCGGATGGGAGACAGGGCTAAGACTGCGTTACCTACGACAAGTAAAGCACGGACTGTATATATACTGTCTGATGACAAACAGTCCGAAAATCCCTTAGTCGTCTTTTACGACACCCAAGGGAAGAGATGGGTTGGCCTTATTCTACTCCGCCGAGAACCACACGATATCCAGTTCATTCTATACAAATAAATAGAATTGAAGTGTCTGTTTGTAATGTGAAAATAATAGGTTTTTTCATGCTCACGCGGTTATTTGAACGATACCTATGCCTAAACACTAGTTTAAATATTTTTTGTTTGTCTGTCTGACTGTTAAAAACCGCCAGACAGACAAACAACGGTTTAATAAACGGTAAATCTTCTAAACTGTTGGACCGATTTTGATAATATTTTATTTCCAATTCTGATAATACTGTACTGTACTCTCATCTGTTATATTAAATCTAGAAAAGACAGATTTCGGAACAAGAATATTGTTTAAAATGTGTACCCTAAAGTCGGTAAAAAGAAAATGTAAAAGGGTTTAATACTTCCTTGTCTTGTTACTAATTTTCATATCTTTCCTTTCAGTACAGCGAAACAGACAAATTCACAATGAGCTACAGAGTATACTTGGTAAATATAGAAGAGTGAATGAAGGTAAAAGATAATTTATGTAAACAAATAAAGGATTAAACTTAAAAAATATGGAAAAATACAAAATTGCACCTTTATCACAAAAAACAAAGTAGTAAGAATATACGGCAAGTATTCGCAGGTGGGATATGTTATTAAAAGTTTAGATTCAAAACAGATAAAATATTTGGCTACATTAAATGGCTCCATCCTTGAAAACAGAGTACAAAAATGTAATCAATTAAGAAAATCTAAAACCGATACCAGCTTTCATGGACTTTTATGGGAAAATAAAAAATGATTTATAATGTTTTTTTTTATGGTTTACCATTATACATATAATTCATTTTTTATTTTTCTCACCACAAAACATTATTACATAATTATAGCTAGCACAAGAGTTATTTTATATTTCTGTTAGGATTGTGTCAGCGCCTTTGAATTTGCGCATAATAGACTAAAATTATTCAACACGACAAGAAAAATATAAGTTAAATATTAATGTTCAATACCGTCATTATTTTTCACGTAATTGTATTTTTTAAACAAACACGTACATGTTTTTCATGTAATTGTAAATTTTAAAGCCAGAAATCTACCAAAAAATGTTTTTGTACAATAGTTAGATCTCAGTGTTCAATGCAAACATAATTTTAAGATACCACCTTATTAGAGAATAAAATAAGGACAGGACCCGTTCTTGTGGCAAAACAACGTGTGTGTGTGTTGGAGGCCTATGTCCAGCATTGAACGTCTTTCGGACTTTTCTTTTCTTAAAAGGAAGAAGAAGAGAATACAAAGAAATGTTTAAAGGTTACATTATTATGTAATCTTTAAACATATCTTTGTCATAAAACTTACAATAATATTATTTATCTATAAAAAAAGGACTGAATGGCAAAATTATAAGCTATCATTGTTACAGATTTAAATTTCATGAATTAAAATGTATGTAGTAAACTGTTAGTTTATAACCCTTAGCGACCTCTGGTGCTCTAAACATCAATAAAAAAGACGTGTGTGTTCATGGTTACCTTTCCATTTGTTAGATGGCGCTTCTGGAAACCTTTAATTTATTATTGTGGAATTTCAATAAACTAGTGATTGAATGGAGCGGCGATCGAATTTTGGTGGTTTTGACTATCTTTTTTATTTCATTCACCAGTGTTACTTGAACCGTAATTGTATAGATTTCTGTAGCGTCGCATGGCAAAACCTATATGATGACGTTTTGTAAATTTTCTAACTTTATAGAACGATTTATTCAAATATTATATCTTTGTGCACTTCTTCTACATATAAACATTTGCAATGTTTGTATTTTTTATCTGGCAAACAACGTAGAATCCACTGTATTGTACCGTCCACATTTTGGAACAGTAATAGATAGCGAAATAAGTATACTCGATAAATACTGGAATAGCTTTATGTATGTATTTGAAAGGGTCAGCCTTATGCCTACAATGAAGTATATCTATCTCTTAATCTTAGAGTGAACTTATTTATGCAAGTTTTATCTATTTTATCCCTGAAAAGACAACCATTTTTTTCTGCAACTACATTTCATGTGATACTATTATATAATAGTAATTAAAATAAAATAAGTAAATTACGCGTACTGTTTCATTCATTATACATAAATTGATCACTAAAGGTGCCGTAAATGTATAAATGTAAAGACCTTGCCTAGCTAACATTTTAATATCAAGACGTTATCTGTGCTTGCGTTTAAGATGATGAATCACATACGTATTTGTAGCTATTCTTATTTAGGTAAACATAGGTAAAAATGATAAGTGCAACAAGTCGCGTTTCTCTATTGAATCAGATCCAGTATCGTTTGAATTGTAAACTAACCCCATAATTAAATTATTAATTCTATACAAACATATGAACTCTCTGCATCTATAAATAAATTAATCGCTGCCTTTTAAACAATTTTAAATCTAGTATCAGTACATTACTCCCCTCGAAGTAAGTCCGAGTGCCAGAATTATCGCTGCATTATAGTTGTTAAAGTAACGAATACATTCATCTAAATTCAAGGCTATCGATGCTGTTGGGATAAATAAAACTACGATGAAAATGGATGAAGGCAGCACGAGGCAGTCACCAGATGACTCGGTTTGGGAAGCTCGAATATATAAATGCAGTAAATGATGCTTCTAATCACTAAAAAGCTATAACGTTTACACTACATACGCTTGTCGCGATTGATCACATCGAACTTACCGTATGATCATAGCAATGGGAACTTATCCAACTATCAATACGTGTAGTTATAGAGCTGGCTCTTCTCTATTTGATACACATTTCTGCTGAGAAACACAATTTAACAATTATATTGATATTTTAGCCGTAAATGTTACTACTAAGAAAAAAATCTATTAAAGGCCTGCAGTGCTTGCTCATTCGTTACCATTACGAATTGCTTATGGTCAAATTTCACGTTATCGTCCTATAATACTGTGGTTAATTACATACAAACCTCAAACTAAATTGGGGATTTTAGAACAAATAATAATATCTCATTTCAAATAAAAATATCGATACCGCTTTGCACTTCATTTTTCTACTACGCATCCACGATCTCAAAATTAGATCTCTACTTTATCAGATAATAGCATTACAAAAGAACGCCCAATATATAGCAACCCCTACCTACGCCTTAAAATTATAGAACCGAGATTTTGCAACGCGATAACTCATTTGAGAATGACACCGATGCATCCGGCCTTTAAGGGCGGTGTCAAATGTTTATGCTAGCAACGAATTAAGAAGTAATAATAAGGACGTACATAAACTAATGCACAACCTCGTCATTCACCTCATTCACTTTTAAAGCTCAGAACCAGAGCGCAAAAATGGGAAACGTCAAATGATTAGCACTGATGTCGTGCAGGGCGCGGCGTGCGTGTTGGCCCGGTCGGAACGCGGCGCGGCACACACTAGGGCGGGCGGCGAACACGGCAGCGTTACGTCAGCGAGGGGCGCGGGCCGCGGGCAGTGGGGGGTGAAGGGCGCCCCGCACTACTGCATCCTCCGAGCGCCCATCTTCGCCCGGTTCTGCTGAAAAACGTGATATCTCTGCTCCGCGCCGACTTATCCCCGCGTGCGCCTCTCGCCTTTTCATCTCTCTCCAAGAACCGTACCCATCACTCACTCGTGGTCATTTTCTGTAGGAACTCGTTATGTTGATATCATTACTGATACGGTTTTCACGTTAAATTTAATTTCATTTAGATTTTTAATGACATAATATGTATTTGATTTGTTTTGAAAACTATGTTGTTTTGAAAGTGACTGAATGTAAGTATCTTGTGTTCTACATACTCGTACAAATGTATTTTTTTTAGGTTAGTTTGGTATAACAGACCTATTCGACATTTAAACAAGAGGAAAAATTTTGATATTAGTCAAGATTTTGAAAGAGATGAATGTACATTGTTATATTTTGTTTGTAATTATGGAAACACAGGAATAAATAAAACACTGGTTGATTATTTTTATTTATTTTCTTTGAATAATAGTAATAAAAACAAAATTTAAACTTTAAGAAAGAAATTCGGCATCCAGCAATGATACAATTATGGAAAAAAATAATTGCTAGAATTTGTAAATGTAAATTAACTTATTAATAAACTCTATTTAACGTAATTAAATTATGAGGTAGATGATTTCAAATAGTCTTTCTTTAAAATCTTATAAATACCTACATAGAATAAAACTATATCTACTTATATAAAGTGAAATGCATAAAGACCCGTATTGTTTAATACCTCTTAATCATTGTGTATCTACCATCATGTCAATCTGACTACTGACTACATCTAATCTATGTGAACTAGTTATTTATTAGATCCGTTTTATCGAGCAGGTACCACGATACAATTAGATTGTGATTAGAGTGCTTACTTGAATATTTTCTGTTTTTTTTAAAAAAGATTAAGGTAAACATGGTGACTATTAGATTGCTAAGAAATTAAATATCAAAGTAAATCAGCTTGTAAATCAAAATTTGTAAATATACGTACGTTAACAGACTTAAAATTGATAAAATATACTTATATTAATTTAAACAGTTTAACAACCGCTGCCAACTGGTGTGTCATATTATTTTAGTCACATTTTAATGATGAACACAAAGTACATTTAGCATTAAGACAAAGAATTTACGGTAACTATCTAATAAACTAAAATTACAGATTCATTGGCTAATTACGCAGGCGGACTTTACATTTATTTCAATGGTGTGATAAAATTCTTACTACATTACAAAAATTAGACGTTGTCTTATGCATCCCATGATTTTTACTTTGTACTTTGTTTGTTTAATATTAATTTATATAATTTACAAATACATGATTTAAGTTTTGGATGAATATTGTTAAATTGTTCTATATATTATTTTACTTAATCAGCATTTTCGCTAGAGACACTGTCAGGAAATAACGGCAAGTCCATTATATTCATCAAAAACGTAAACCATGAAAAGTAATTATATTGGTATATTCTATTTTTGGGAATCAGTAAGAATTAGTAAATTCCAATAACCGTAAAATGGTTACACATATAGTTTTTTTTTTTATTGTTATAAAACATGAAACATGTAAAATTGAAATCGAAAACAATGTATCATAACATCTATCAGATAAAACTATTAGATCCACAAAATATAGTTCAGTGCACTATGATGACACTGACACAAGTTCTACAATTGGCAGTTCAATTTGTAAATAAATTTAAGAATAAATATCTAAACTAGAATAACTTAATAATATTTATTACAATTGAGGTAGATGGTTATTTATTATTTAAACTAAAGTTATCCATAAAATATTGTGTGATACAGAGCATATTTACTTTATGAGTTTACTTTCATCGATAGTTAAATATAAGTTAGAGTTGCAGTTGTTCTTTTTACTTGCAGAGACTTTGTATATTCGGTATAATGTTGAAAACATCTACAAGCTTGGTTGGTATACATAAAGTAGAAGTACAATAAAAATACCCTAAACACCGAAGTTCCAAAGTCCACCAGCATAGAATACATGCATGTTTGGACGTTACCCCGTTCAAACAATGTAAGTGATGACAGAAGTTCCGCATTACCAGAAATGCCACTGATTTCAAATCGAGACTATGAAGCTCTCTTACATAGATTAATTTTATACTGGCGAATTAGCGTTCAATGATTGGCGTGAGAGTGACTGTATGTCTAAATGAAAAGTAACTCTTGTAATTGTTTTAATATTACAAGCTGTGACATCTTTACTTTTAAAATAACACTAAGGTGTTTTGGATGAGATATGTGAGACGACTATTTGAGACCAACATTGCTAAGTCTCGTGCCTTTGTCAGATTCTAAATATCAGAAATGCTATTTCTTCTTTTAATTTTACGTTGTGTATTAGTTTAGGTACACCTGAATAATTAAAACTGCTACAGCAGCAGTCTGAAAGATGACTATTACGTTATAATTCTATTGAAAGTAATGTAAATAATATAAATGTGTTATAAATATGTGTAGGTTCAGACGAAGTATGTACTTATTTGCTGTGAGTACGGTTGTGTACTTTTATCATTATTAAACAGGTTAACTTCAACCCTAGTAAATTTGTGAAGTATGTGATCACAGAATTGATTAAGTACCTAAATTTCAATCAAAACTTGATCTACTAATTTATGACAAGACTCATCAACAAGCGCAAATCGCCATATACGACAAAGTTATCATATTTATATAAAATATATTTGTACTGTGATGTGTATACAACTTTGGTCTTAAATATTCCATAATGAGATATTGAATTGAATCTACACTTTGTAAATAATTGTACATTATATTATTGTTACATGTTCATCGGGCTTTAACACATTAACTATAACCGATAACGTTTACATCGCATCTAAGAGTAGTATCTGTGGATCTACAACTACATATGTTTTGATACCCTTCTAATTTAACTCTATTTAATTTTTATTTTGAACATTGAACTGCCAATTAATTCATGTAACATTCGGTGCCTCTGTTAAGTTCATCATTCACTTTAAAGTTTTTTTTTTTTAATATGATAATATACGTAGAATAATCTTTGAGCTTTTTGTGAAGCGCATCTAAAACACTGAATTGCAATGAAATATTTAGTTTGTCTCATAGCCAACCGTAATACTTCTAACTTAATGTTATATTAATAATGAGCTAGAAAATAACATAGTTCATCATAATAGAATATAGCAACAAAATTAATAAGAATATTATAAACACACACTTTGGATAAATACCAGTACTCGTAAAATAATTAAGATATTGACACTCGAACACATAAATTTGTACTTACGTTACATTTGCAAACTTAGGTAGTCCTATTACTATCATTAAAATTAATGTGTAAAAAGTACATTTTGTACTAGATTACACGTTGTAGTTTGTACTAAAATTATGGATTTGTACCGATCAGTCTTGTACTTGTTTGTTTAGTTTATTGTAACTATATTGAGGTAGACGAGAACTACCTACTATAACCAATTCTATGGTTAATTTATAAGCAGCTTACTTTTCAATATAGACTGTTAAGTCAACGTTTTTGTTTGGAATGGAGTATCTAGACGGAAATAAGCTTTGTTCTAACATATAAAAACCGTTATAATGCCGTTAGAAATTCTAAAGTTTGTCGGATTTTTTGGATGAGTTTCCATGAAATTACGACTGCGGTGGGCTGTCCTGCTGTCCCCCTTGCGAACTGCTCGAACTCTTAGACGGCTCATTCTTCTTTTCAACCTACAGATAACGTAAAAAATATTTTTAGTGAGAGAATTGCAAATTACACATTGCAGAAAACAATTTGGAATAAATTAGCAAATAAATATTATAAATATTCTTGATATGCCAAATTCCAACAAATTCTGAAACTAGAAATTATTTTCGAATAAGTATATGGAAATCGGCTTAAATAATAAATCAAATTTAAGAAACTTACACGAATTCGATCTACCATTAAATTTTTTATTTTGTTTATTTTAAATATGTCTTACTTAGTTTTTGCTATAATGTATATATGCGTAAACCATGCTTAAAATAATTGTTTTCAGCGAAAATGTAGTATCGGAAATGTCTCGAAATATCCAATTTTACAAAAGAGACCAAAACCTATCAAAAAAAAAACATTAAAGTAACCAGTATAGTTCAAGGCTCTGTCATTAATTTCGTCATAGGTTTGTTCGTGATTAATTTGCAACCACAAAGTTTTACATTTAGGCTACTTTCCGGTACATAACATTTCCACTCTCTGCTCCACTTTTTTTTGTAAATACATACATATTATATATATAAAACACCCTAACTCCGCAACAAATATTTGCAGAGCATACAAACATTTAGTCCGACTCGGGAATCTTGTCGCCAAGTGCCCGGCACTTTGCACATGAAAAATTGTAAGTGTATTGAATGGGGTAGATAAGAAAGGAAAGGCAATAGCAAGATAAGAGTACATGCATACATTGGGCAGTATAAGCAGCAGCTCGCATGTGTCGTGCCTGCAACCATGGGCGTACCCATAGTGAAACAAGGTGGGCGCTTGTCCCAGGGTGGGAGAACCACCCTGGCTTACACCCGTTTTTTTAGTAAAAAAAATTTTGAAACATTTTATAAAGTACAGGTCTAATGCTTCACCGAAATTTAGTTTTGGCAGAATACGTATTATTATGAAGACACAACAATTTTGGTGTTATGTATGGAAAAAGATATAAGTAAATAAATTTCAGCAAACAAATGAAATATTCGGTAAGGCAACATTCTATTGCCCCCTCCATATGTTGATTTTTTACTATACACTCTTAATTAGACACTACTGCTAGTTGTACGGAGGTCTTAATAACAGTTGTTACCGAATCCCTCCTAGTTCAGGCGCAGAGTGGCACACAGTGTGGTTTTAGTCGGTTTAATTCAGACAGACAGCCCAGCGATTTTGAACTATAATTTTTATTTACTATAACTTTTAAAGTATAATTATTAAAGCTTTAAATTTTATACATAATGTTTTGTCCGACATTGAGATTAAAGGGTGCCTATTTTCACTGGTAAGCGGAGGATTGGCAAAATCGACATTACAAACAGTAAAACTCAGGCCAGAGTTCTGACACAACTCTATGTCCAAGTGATCGCTTTCTGAAAGTGTAGGAATATGTTAAAACCCGGTGTAAGCCCAATACCCTTTAGATACAGAATTTTTTAAATAACTTGCAAAATTTATGGATGTACAATGATTTTGTTAAAATTCTTAGTGTCTTCGTACAAAGAAGAACATGTCAGGTTCTTCATAGCAAAATTAAATTTTAAAAAATTGCACCAATTTAATGCGTCTCCTGAACGTTGCAGTGAAATTGACAAATAATAAATAGAACAATTCATTTAGAACCAGAATCGAAAGGTCTTTTAGTACTTAATGCAGAATAAAAACTTGGCTAAGATCGACAATGACATACAACCGAACCGATTTTAGAAGCAAAAAATAAATTTATAAATGAAATTTTAAATAAGTTTTTCAGAAATCCTCCCAGGTAATTATTAAAATAAGGTTAGAAATAAATTGTATATTTGCCCCACCCTTAAGTAAATGCTAGGTACGCCCATACCTGCAACTTAAACTAGCCATTGCCTGAAAATCTGAGCCGTCTAATTCTACTACGTGGATTTAGATGTTATACCAACAATAAAATTTTAGTAATTCTCAACAAAAATGTTAAATTTTCGTTGTAATGTTAAATTAATTTCAAATCAGACCAATTTACTTAATCTTGTTAAAGTGACTATAAATAACAAAATTGTACCTTAATTGGGCAGTCAGCAATGAGGTGGTCCTCACTTTTGCAGTTGTGACATCTCTTTGGTTGTGGGCCAATACTGCACTTAGCCGCTATGTGATTGGCGAACTCGCCACAATTATAGCAACTGGAAACAACATATTACCTCATTTTAAAATAACTAATTCATTACACCTCATTTTAAACTTTAATGACAAAAAAAACGGGTCAAGCATTTTTAAATACAATTAGACTCTTTAGAAAGTATCAGTGATGGGTGTTGATAATAATATAATCATTATACGCCTAAGGTAAAACTATAATCTAAAAAAGATAGAAATGTTTAAAAAAACTTTATTCCAAATACTTCAACTAACTACTTAGTAGAAACTACCTCATAATTTTATTAGTTTATTTCGAAAATCTATTTCTAGCATAGAGAACTACCATTGCCATTCAACGTGCCAACAGTGCCAGGATTTTGGGAACGCCACCAGGGGTTCGGAACCGGTTCATTACCGATTCGAAAGATTTTTTGACGCTTGTTACAAGTAAAAAAATAAATAGTCTGCATAAATGTTAAAATTAGTTAAGTATACATTTATTTAAATAATCAAATTATTATGTAACCGATGTACCTTAGTCAATCTATAAATTTATAACTAGTAACAAATACCTTTATCATTAAAACAAACTATTCATGAATTACCACACCTACTCACTTCCACCGCCATTCATGTCAATCCGTCTTTGATAGTAGTATACAAAACTGGTATGTGTAACATACCCAGGACCGAGAGTGTAGTCCCAAAAAAAACAGAATAAAATAATAAGTTACTCGTAAAAAAGTATACAATGGTTTAATATTCTGGAAGAACATATAGAAATCTAAATTCAAATAGGATCCACCTTGATAATAAGCAATTCAACGAAAAGATTTAAAATCGGCACACATATAGCCAATATATCGAAGACCATACACTAAAAAGGCTGTCGAAGTCGTTTAGATACACGTTAAAGAACTTCTTAAACATCTACGGTTACTATTTTTTCACTGTTTAACACTAGCCCAGTTCTATTGTAGATTTAAAAAAAATCAACTATAAACTGTCATTCTGTTCTGTTCTGTTTCTATCTGACGGCTATATAACTATACTTGTATTTAAATCACTATTATTTAACTTTTCAAATTACTTCTAACACAAATATTTAGCCAATGTTTGCCCACGGCAATTAAAGGCAAATTTGATAGCAAATCTGTTAAATTCAATTAGTTATGCTTTGATTGTTATTTTTATTAAATTGCTGTATAACATTTTGAATTTAAAAATATTCAGTTTGGAATGCTTTATTTTTTGTGAGTTGTATATTCCAATATACCTAAATTAAATGTTATTAGGCAGGTCTCTCTTACACGATGAGGTTGGTGTTTCGGACTTGTTTTGCCCGTGTGTGGTCTTGACAGCACATATTTGAGGCGATTTAATTATCTTCATGATGATTCAGACGCCATCTTGTCTCAAATTTGAATATACGGAAAACGTAATTTTAGGAACCATTGCTTGTGATGTATATATAAGTGTGTGATGATAAAGCTCAGATTGCATTGACACGAAGTATTTTACCATCGCTGTAATATCGACTCTTGAATTTTAAAGTCTATTTTTAGAAATTGAATCATTAATAAGGTTTTTTAATTATTATTTTAATCTAACTGATAAATACTTATATTGAAAAGATACAGTATTTTTAATATGGTCAGTATAGCTGTGGTGTATATAGAATTAATATTAACACTTTTTCTTTTCTTTAGAAAACAACTCCTGCATTAGGAATATATCCTGTGTCACAGGAGATTTTACAAACATACGTGAAACGGACACAAAGAACACCCAGACTCAGAACAACAATTTGTGGGTCTCAAAAAGCTTCGTCCCATGTGGGGATCGGACTCACAACACTCAAGCCCGTATTTTAAAAGACGTCTCAAGTGTCGGTTGAACTCTGATTGGCTGAAACTAGTTTTAAGTGCAAATCAAATCTTAAGTATCGATCTTATTATAGAACGCGTTTTAAGTTTTACTCAGTTGAAACTAGTTTCAAGTATTGATTTGAACTTACAGTCTGTTCTCAATTACGTTTCCGCGTGTATGACACTATTATTCCACATTACGCAGCTAATTATTTAAAAAATAATTTTCTTTTACAAAAATAATTTCTGTGAATTTGTATATAATATACTATTGCCTAGTGTAGGAATGTTAACATATTAACAAGGTTGTTGTTCGTTCAAAATTAAGTATAATAAATATTAAAATAAAAATGAATAGGCTATAACGGAACGTTCAAGTTATTTATCAACACTTGTCATGTTGAAATGTCATACGATGTTTTTATTTGATTTTTCTAAAATTTAAATTACTATACTTTTAACATAAACCAAAAGGTTGTGGTAATTTAAACTGGTATTGTGTGTGTAAAATGTGAATTTTGGTGAATTTCATATCAATTAAGGTAAATTAAAGTGAAATTGATGATAGTATGCCAAGTAATTCTTTCGTAAATAAAGTAAAGTAAATCTTTCGTAATTATTCAAAAAGAAATCATCGTAAAACACATTCATTTCCCCTAAATGCCCTAGAAATCACCGCTTGAGACTAGTTTCAGCTTGTCTCACGTAAACAAAGATCACAGCTGTCAAAATCTATACCTGAGTAATGATTTCGACATAAACATCGTTCTAAAACGAGCTACCACTAACTTGAGTATGGATCGGTGAATCTCGTTTTAAGTGACGTTCAATAATAAAATCTCTACTTAAAATTAGTTTTAAGACTAGATTCACGACTGAGACACCTTTTAAAATACGGGCCTCAGTGTAGTAGTAAGCTGCGTGGCGATCGCTTACTACTACACCACGCTTAGGGGCCATTCAATAATTATGTAAGGATCAAACATGCCCCTATCTTGGGGGGGGAGGGGGTAAAACTCAATCTTACGTAACATTTTACAAGTCGATATTTATTATTAAGAATTTATTTATATTTCGGAGGTTGAATGATTTTCTTCATACCACAATGTCCACTTCAATTTGCATTTTATTATACACATTTTTATTGTTTATTAAAATTTTAAAATCTTATATATGTTCATTTTGATCCATTTTAAATGTCATAAATAATAATTATATTATAGTGAATTCTTACCACGTATTAGCTTTTACTGTGAAATTTCTTTTCTTTAAACGTAATTTAAAACACGATCATTTTTTTAAAAGTGTTATTCGTTTAAAGATTGTTCAACTGATTTATGTTTGTTGAGTTTAAGATTATTTAAAAACTTACTTTTAATTATAATAAGAATATTCCAAAAACTAGAGAGTTATCCAATAATATAGAAATAACCTATATCTGATAGCAATGATAACGCATAACCTAAATTATCTGCTAAAAAATAAAGATCTTTGATTTACGTTAAACTTTTACGTTACTTACGTTTTATGATGCAGAAAAACCAGATCCAATTTTACGTAAGAAGAGGGAGGGGGCTTCGAGAAATCTTATGTATCCGTAAGGATACATATAAATGGGGGTAGCGGGGGTCAAAGATCGTCGAAATCATTCTTACGTAATTAATGAATGACCCCTTAAACCACTACATCCGTGCAGTCGCGCACTACGGTACACTGGTACCTATTATTAACACTGGTAACTATTATTAACACTGGTAGTAACGAAGTTAATAAAATATTGTACTAATTCTCAAATCTGGCAAAGACCAGCTACTTGGAGTCTCTGACTACCTAGTGTTGCCATGATATAGGAGCATAAGACTAAGGGACTACAATCTATAGTGCTTGTAAAATTAACGGACTCTACGCTCTATACTAAAGGACTACTTATCTTCTATTTAAATAATGAAATGCCTTCTGGTCTCGTGCCATCTTCATTTGCCTATATCATTAGGCCCCTGTATAACATTGTAAGCGTTTATAAGAGCTTGATAGAGCGTGTTTATCAGTTGCCATTGTTGCTATTCGTCCTGTACGGGGACTAAAATGAAATCCTAGATTTGATGCCGATTCCGCTGGCCTGTGTGCGATATTCTACAGGGATCTATTCTTAGAGCATTTCTGTGGAACATTTGCGTGGAACATTATACATGGGCTGGTCTTAATCTGTTACACCGATGACATGTCTGTCAAAGCCCACGGTGTGAACTTTCAAGAGGCGGTGCGTTTAGCTACCAGGAGTCTCTTTGATGGTCCGGCGCATAGAAGAGCTGAGCTTACGTGTGGCCCTGAATAAAACGGAGGACCTTGTATTTCTGGTCCAATCATCATGATCATTATCAACAGCCTTTATTAGTCCACTGCTGGACATAGGCCTCTCCTTAGAAAGAAGTTTAGGCTGCTGGTTTACTGTAGCGCGCTGGCTAGACGGGTTGGTATAGGGTTTGTGTCAAGTTTTCCGTCTCTTTGCAGTGCTGTTGTCTTGCGTAGTTGGCCCTTAGTCAGTTCTTACGATACCCACGGGATGAATAAGGGTGGTGATACTCAGTATTCTAAATAAATCACCACATAACCACCCACGACGCCTCAATCGCGGTCCTTGTACTAGCTCAGACCCTCATTAAATATCTGGATCTGATCTTCAACGAGAAGGGGCGCTTCGACGAGCACTTCTGACAATGCTAGCCAGCGCGCTGCGTCTGCCCTTGGGCGGCTTTTGTCTAATTTGGGTGGAAACAGCTTCACTAGAAGACGGCTCTGCACGGGAGTTGTCCGGTCAGTGGCACTACAACACTTCGTGCGCATCGGTGTAGACAGAGGCTCTAACCGTCCGGAATAGTACACGTCTCTGACGCTCTCATAGTGTCATAGTGATTAGATCCGTACACGGTTACCGTACCGTTACGGAGGCGGCATGCATATTGGTTGGAAGTCCAGCCTGGGATGTGGAGATAAAGTGCTTATGTAAGTTTATTGGCGGACGGCTGAATTCCTGGCGGGTTGCGGCAGTCGCCCCCACCCGAAAATGTATGCGTGAGGACGCTTGTCGATCCATAATGGCTTGTCATCCCAGCTGGAGGCTCCAAGTACTGACTTTCCGCCATGGCGGCGCTTTAGGCGGTCATAGCCAAGTGGACACGGTGACGACGGTTTTTCCGGGCATGGCTGCTTCGAGAAGTACCTGCACTAGGTGCAAGGGAACGTCTGTCACCAATGCTATTGCACAGCATACACTGGGGATTGTGCGACTCGGCGTCGGGCCCTGACTTCGATCATCTCGATAGCAGCGATAGATGTTCTACCGTGGTCGCATTACTTCTACGAGATCGGCATCTCGCGGAATAAATCGGAACAAGGGGCCTGGAAGGACGATCTCCACTCGCACCCGATTCGCCGCTAGCGAGCCGGGTGGTGCAAGCGTATCTTCCAGCGCCTTATGCCGCCCTAAGTGGGGCCGCGGGTGAAGACTTGTGTCGCGTGTGCCTAGACACCGCGGCACCGAAAATCCCTATTGGGTGCCGGCCTGAGGGGGCTTCCATGTGGAAGCCGTTTATTTTATTTATAAAAGTGTACACATAAAAAAAGTGTAAGGTGACTTGATACGGCCTGCACAATTGGTAAAAGATAGATCGTGGTATGCAGAATTAGGAGACAATTCTCTCACAACAAACAATTTAGGACTTCAATATATATTTTCAACATGTAGTAAATGTCGAGTAATGCTATAGTTACCTATCACTGTTACTTTCTTATCCTAAATAGCAATGTTTACCGTATCTTTCTGAACCGTTTTTTGGAGAGTGGCCGTCGGTGTGAACCCTGGCAGTCAACAGATGATGGCCCGGAGACACGAGTCGCCTCCAGGCCTTTATCGGACTCCTTGCATTCAAATTCTATCTCCTCTTCATCACCAAGTGATCTAAACCCAGGCATTTGAATTACGCTCTGAAATGCAATAAAAATAGTAAATTAGTAAAAAAACATCAATGGCTATCAGGTACCAAATAAAAAAAGTTTTAAAAGTATTTGTCTTTTAACTGTTTAGTGATTTTACTCACTACTTATGAAGATTTATTAAATGTTAAGAGGTAAGCTACAATTTTATAACAATAAGAGTTTCGTATTCAATATTGTTATTCGAGTATAGGTCAGAAAAAAATTAACGTTATCGCTATTCAATAATAGTCTTGACCTAATATAAGTTTTACTGCCAACATCGCTGCAGTCGGACGAAGTAGAAGTTTGGTGGCGCAAACGTATAGAAAAAACATCCGGCCTTGATAAGCAGAACAAACAAATAAGCGCACTATCGGGTCAGCCGCTAGATACGATACAATATTTTATCTGAATTAATTTAAGTGTTGTAGAGCGATTTGATCAAATGTATTCCTGTTACAAAATATATCGAAAATGGAGCGGCAGTGTGCATTGGCGTGAAATAAAATGATAACAATCACCTGGTGCACGAAAACATCTTGCCCACCGTCGTCAGGGGTAATGAACCCCCAGCCCTTCGCGACGTTGAACCACTTGCATCGTCCGCGGCGCGTCACCCCTGTAACGACGCTGCCGCTTGCGCCCGCTGCACCTGCAAATAATAAAGTCAGTTCAGTCAGCTGTTATCGCTGCTCTAGCACCACCCTCGCCGTATGCGTTTACTTCACCTACCTAACACTTCTCCTACTACTACCTTTACGCGACCACACAACGCACCTTGTTTTTATCTGCTATTAAATCTACGGGCTAATTGAATTTTATCAAACTTTCACTACCTCGTTCCATCGCATAGTCTGTTTCCGGTACATAGTATTACTGTTACGCAGATATGAGCAGCCTTTTACGAGTTCTTGTTTAATGATCCTATAACCAACAAACATAAAAGTACTTTAAGGGTTTTTACACATTAACCTTAAAGTATAAGAAAACGACAAATCATTGTGTACTATAAATTAATGGGTGATAAAGAGTGGTGTAAATTTTCTTAATCAATTTTAGTTTAAAAATTAGGTTGCAGCTTATTGAAGACCCTTACAGTTCACTAATAGTTAAATTGCGTTAAGCGGCTAGTAGACATTTTAACGTCCGTAATGGAATCTATTAAGAATAAATAAGGGCCAACAATCGTATACTTACACTAAGAAAGGGTACACTGTTCCCCTTATCGGGCACCAACACAAAAAAAATCGTGGGAACCGAATGAAATAAAAGACACCTCCTTTTAACAAAACAACTACTAATTCCACAAGTTTTGCCATTTTAAATTACAAACATAATAACATAAAGTTTTATTTTGAATGGTTATAGTACGTTGTATCGGCTCGTAGTGGATCAACTATCGTCTAATATCAATTGGAGCGATGACTAATATAATACCGTTTCCTTGAAAAATAATATGACTAACATATTTAATAGAAAAAGCCGGAAATACTTCGGATGACAAACACGATTTCACAACACTGTTTACCACCAATTATTATTATTTTTTGATACATAGAAAATATTATTCACCGTTAATTGTTAAAATATCTAGATAAATATTTTAGTTTTATTATAAAAATTGTAAAAATATTACAATATCATGTTACTGCGCAGTTTGAGTTATAATTAGTAAATAAACCTAAAAATGCTCCGTAGGATACATCATGAATGGAATCTAGACCATGATATACAACATTTGCATAAAACAAGCTCAAAGTTCTCACGGCGCTCTCTCATCAATCGGGCGTTAGTTTCTCGAAGGCTTACTCAAATGTTAGTATATGAGAATTTATTGGTGGTTTGCTAATTCGATATACATTTCTGTGTTGGTATGTAAGCTAAGCATATTATTTCGGGCGGCGGCGGCATAAAAGCGTGCTAGCAGGCACACGTGGCAACGGCGGGGACTCGAAGAATGTTCGGTATTTAGGTTGAGTTTCTGGTACCTTTTTCATTCATTGCCGTAACACTGCACCTAACCGGCCACGTTGCTGCGCGCTGAGTACAGCGCAACCTCACCTTACGCCCTGTACTCAATATTTATTAATCCTTATTCCACATTAATGAGAAAGCTCTGAGACCTTTTACTAAATAAAAAAGAATCGGTTTCTATCATGTACATACTATATTATATAATAACATTAGTACGTCTTTAGTTAATATGTATACAAAATAACTAGTATACCTAACAATTTACGTTGTTTAAAATAATAGGTATGTTTGTTTTTGAAGACTTGTTTTTTGTTGTGTTTGTGTATAAATATTTAAAATAGTGAACACTGACTTTGAATTGGGAATAGATAAATTCTTAAGGCTATGAGCGATAACGTGAAACTCATTCAAGAATTTACGATTTTTATTAACAACTTACTCTTTATCAAAAAGTTCTCATTCAATGAACGATACGAGTCGAATATTTGGTATTTCTATACTGTGTATTAGGAAGGAGTACTTAATCAAGAAGATTTAGGTTTAGGATGCCTGATTTTGTGTAAATGTTTCCTGAAACATTTAAACACCAAAAAGTCAAGTCATTAAGTGGCTAAATGAATAACTAATCATGATTCCTAAACTTATAATGAATTGAATAACTATGACCTGTCATTTATCATTAAGTAATAAGCATTTAAAGTGGGTATGTAATGTGATTTGTATCAAAAACTTTACTCGGTTGCATTTCAAGCTCTTGCTTCCTTCAACTATTTTTATACTTTTGAGTATTTAATTGTTTTGAAAAAAATAGGAGAACATGTTGAAGATGAGTACTTACCGACATAATTTTTTAAATCCTAGAAGTTATATTGGCTATTTTTATATTAAGTAGTTAGTACATTTCGCACGACTTTGCATAATTTTTTAATATTTTTTACGGATGAGGTATTATTTGACCCGGATGCAGTTCTTTGAAATTTGGGCTTTTAGGGCTGAGGATCTCCTCAGCCGTAGAAGCCCAAATTTCAGATAGTAGTAATGGTAGACATTGATAGTAGTACACTATTATAATCAATTCAAGCTAGCTAAGGGAGCACTAAGGGAGACAACAGTACTGCAAAGAGAAAGAAAACTTGAAACAAACCCTATACCAACCCGTCTGGCCAGCGTGGTATGGTAGGCTAAAACCTCCTTTCTAAGAAGAGGCCTATGTCCAGCAGTGGACTGTTAAAGGCTGTTGATGATGATGATTATAATCAATCAAGACGGCTACTCTCTGTGAAACTGGAGATGAAGGGGAAGACGCAGAGATTCTTCAGCTCAGAACTTGGAATCGGATGAATATGAATAGTCTATATATAAAAGAAGAAACAGACTGATTCACTGACTGATCGATCAACGCACATCTGAAACCGCTAGGTCCAAAGCATAAAATTTATCACAAATGTTTCTGATGTGACGTAGGTGTACACTAAGAACGGATTAAAAAAAATTATATCCCTAAGAGTGCAAAATAGGGGTTGGAAATTTATATGAAACTTCGTTATTTTTGGTAGTAGCGTTTCCCTAAACAACTGGGGCCTACAAACTTGAAAATTTGGCAGCTGAAGCTTTTTATGTTGTAAGCACCCACTAAGAAAGCATTTTTGTAAATTTCACAGTTGCTAAAATAAGGGATAATTTGGTGTGTAGAAGTTCATTATTTTCAAAGTTAGAAACACGAAATAGGAAATAATCACGCGAGCAAAAATGGGGGTAACAGCTAGTACAACATAAGAATATATATTTATAATTATAATATATAACAAGAATATACAAAAGTTGTAGTTAACTTAACCGACTGGGCCGTAGTAGATGGTTAATAATAGCAAAAAGAAAAAAAAAATTAAACAATATTTTTTCTTTGACGAATATTTAAAAAAAATCTATGACAGTTAAACTGCAGATATGTTAAAAACATGTACGTATTGTTAGCCATTTAACAAGGTATAAAAGTCTAGGATAGTATCATAATTCATAGAAAAACTTAGATGAAAGAACGGGAGTATTAAGAATTAGCGTACAACCGGATAGTACCTAGTTGAAAACTTGGCTTGTATTTTTAAACTGTTTTGTTTTCTATTCATAACTAAATATTGCCAACTGAATTGCCAACTGACTTTTATTTGTGCTTTTCATACTGTTTAAGATGAGGACCAATACGAACGAGGAATATACTGATATTCTGATTTGTTACGGACACTTTGGTGGCTAAATACATTAAACACGCTACTGTGCACTGATGTGAAATCATCAGAAAACAATACGGTACGGAATTAATACTTCTTAAAAAGGTCTATATGTACTCTAGCATGCTATATGGCTATCTTCTAACTTTAACAAATACCTAGTAAGTTTATAGTACCTAGTATATTTGAATCTTTACTTGATTAAATAAGACTTTCGTTTTCTGTAATTTATCTAGATTAAAATTAACCCTATCCTAAACAATTTGAACCAGTAATTAAATGTTAATGTCAAATTTATAAAAACTACAATCTGACATGAAATTTTCAACATAACAGGCTGATACGACACGATGACAGAAAAAGTATAGGCAATAATGCTCTGCAACCTGTGCAATGTCGGGACGGGTTGCTAGTTCTTTATATAGGTGTGTATGCATCAAGTATGGTAACGCAGCACTTGCGGTGTTACAGCGCAATCGACTCGTGTACTCTATGCCTGTTTTGTAGTTTTGTTTACTCAGCATGGTGTGCGTGAGCGGCTCCCTTCTCCGTGCCCCCCGCACCGCCCTCAACTACGCACATTCCACGATACACCTCAACATGCGTCGGAATTTCAATGCAACAGATGCATTACTCAGAATTCAGAATTCGTCTAAAGCAACACTCGAGTCAAATATTTAACTAATGCTTGCCTCTTATACTTAGTATCAAATTAGTTCCGAAATTGTTGTGAAAGGAGTTGAGCTTCAGTTTAAAATAACCGTCTTTGTATTAGCTAAATCTAATAAAATATTATGTTGTTCTGTATGAAACAACCGCACACCTTTGTGTACTCGACATACTACTTACTTTATTGTTAATTAATTGTGAGTCTTTAATGTATCTGTAGGTAGTCATTGCACGGAATGCACCCAACTTTCCCTAGCAATTATTAGGTAGGTACGTTACATTACGTATAACGTACTAATTAGATTAAAGTTACTATGACACGAGTCTATAGTAAATTATTTGAAGCAAAAACGTTCTTATACTTGAACACTGAGGAAACCTTCTAAATCACAGAATAATGTTGGTTTCTCAATATAGCAACAAAGCATGGAGCAGGAGACGTGAGGTTTTTGGTTTGTTATCGGTTCCTGAAGTGATTAGGTGCACTATTTATAAACTGGAATTTAAATGTAAGCTTTTGAAAACAGGAAAGAGAAATTTTACGCATGTTCAAAGTCGAATCGTTACCGCTTGCACTCGACTCAATGCCTTGGTTGTTATTTTACAATTCAGTAGTTTACATATGCAGTATTTTGTGTCATAATATATTACTATGTATTTATACTATGATATTCAAAACTCGTTTAGAATAGCGAAGTAGATGCTGAACAATCGGTGCTTCTATAGATAACTATAATTTAACTAATTATACGGATATTATAAAACTGATCTAAACGTAAACAATAATGTTAAACATATTTTAAAATCAATCAACATCAATGTGCTAATAACCTTTTCATTAAACTATTTCAAAAGTTAAGGATATTATGGTATGAATGAATATGTAGTTTAGTAAATAAACGAACACGTGTAGGGCATCCACGCATCTGTTGTCTCACTGAATATTTTTTAAAGTAGGTTTTAATTCATGAATAATAATAATTATTAAAAATAATTCATGAAAAATATAAATACTATGAATTTCTAAATTCATAAAAGTGTGGCAGGTATTTGCAAATATTCCTGAATACTTAAATATCGAAAAGCTGAAGTGATACATAGCACTATATTTTTGTGTTTGTTAAAATATATAGACCGTCCCACGTGGCTGATGTGGTACACGTACAAGATAACTTCCTAGATAGCAAGTACGTACTAGCCCAGTAGTACTGTTGGATGTAATGTACCTACGCCCTGATGCGGGTCGATGATTCGTATCACACACGTTGAGAATGCGACACATCACATGCAACGAGGTGACGAGTGCTGAGCGTGGGAGAGTCAATTCCATAATAGTGTAGCTTATACAAATATATTAACTAAATATTTTTTTCATCTCAATGAGGATTCAATAATCACTAACCGAAACAATGTTCATTTTCGTTTTTTTTTATGTATATATAAACCATCATATATAATATAATTAATTATGTCTAATGAATTTAATAACAATTTAACAACATTTTACTTTAAACAAATTCACCAGGTAAGATATTTTGTTAACTTCAAACAAGTTTATATTTTAGATATTTAAATTATTACCGTTGTAACTCATTCATAACTTTAATGTACGTGCCGTACCTACATTCAACAATAGTAAACAAAACGCATACTAATATTATTGTGATACGCATGTCCAGCAAGCAAATTAAATGACCTAAAACATTGTACCATTCACCACTTTTTGCTGTTATCAATCGTAGGTATGGAATTTGAACGTGAATCATCGCCAAGTGGCGCTTGTTCTATGATATCTTCAACTACGAGGGAAAGAGACAGTAGAATGTATCAACATTCGGATTTAATTGACTGGTTACAGACTTGGACCCTGCCGTAGGGACATCGCGTCATTTTACGTCGACTTTCTAAAAATTCCGGATGGTTTTTCAATAACTCTCTATGTTAATTCCTCTTTAGAATACCGCTAACACGGTGCTTGGGTTTATAATATAGATGTGTATAAATTAACCATAGACTCCTACTAAGTAGTGTAAGATATACCTACTGTACATTTTATAAAAAATATGTTTCAAAATTTCCAATGATAACAGGTAAACACAAACCAAACCGCGTGTTGTAAACGTGATACATTTTGGTAGATATAAAATATTATGCTTAAAGATATAAACAAAGTCTAATTATAATCAAAATATCGACATTGCGTTCGTCACTAGAGCTCTGGTATGCTGACGACAAAAACATTCAGTGCAGGAGAAGTGGGGAGAAAGATTAAGGTCCTTCTAAAATGCAGTCGGCTTACCAAAACACATTCAAGATTTTTTCTCTCACACAGATAAACATACATAAATAGAAAGTATTTTGGTACTATAAAACTTATAACATTATTCATAGGGTCGAAAACAGCGCATCGATGGCGCCAAGTGGAACCAGCACGCATGCGAGCAACTAAAACGGTATCATAGGAATAGTAAACAATTATCTGCTCGATGCGTAGACCTTGTTTGATAAAATGTTCACGTCACATGTTTCCAATTCAATATTTTTAATACTTTTGTTGTACTTAAGTCCTGGTTGTGTTTCCATTCATGAATAAATAGTACTTAAGTACTACGAAGTTAATCCATGACGACTTGCACATAAATATGTACAAAACACTCCTTAAATACAAATTACAACAACAACAAAAACATAAGATATTGCGTATAACGTGACGTCATATATGATTCAAGACATTCTCTAATTAGGAATTTATAATTAGTGTATCTCGTTGTTGATCAACGTTGTACCCAGTAAACATGGCCCACATATGTGTGACATCAGTAAAACGAGACTCTATTAACCTCAATTTGAATAATTTCAATGATGAACTGTTTGTGATTGCCTCCCTGGGCACTGCGTACTTCACATCCGTTCGATAAGGGCCGTAGTTAGTTCGATCGCACAAAACAGCTTTTAAGGTCTATTGATTGGTATGTTTTAATACTCAGTTTATTTATACACAAAATTCAAATCAAGGAAAAATAACTCAAAAACATTATGTTAATACGAGACAATAAATAATCTTGAGTAGCTACTTACTCGAAGAGGGAACTGCATTTCCGCCTTCCCTCCCGCTCATGGTAACTATATTATCAACAGGCACCACAAATATCAACTCTTCTTAACATACATCCTCTGCAAAAAAAGGCACGTTTTCTTTACGATGAGTTCATTTACCTTTGCACGTTTAAAAACTTATTAACTATCAAAATTGTTAAGTGCATGAGAGCGGACGCGCGTGCGCGCGAAGCGACCAACGACGCGTACGCAGGTCGACTGCATCGAAAATGAGTGACAGTGGTACGGAGTCGACGCCGCGGTGATGCGGTCGGTCCCTTCCCGGATATTGCCAAGCAAGTAGTTTTTAAAATAGAGAAGCTAACGAAACGTGTATACCGCCCGAAAGCGCCGGCCGTTTTACCCCAACCCAAAATGTGTCACTTGTTAGCGCGGCGCAGCGTGAAGATCAGTCTTTCCCTATCGCTACCGACACACGGTGAACGGACCCAACTACCTACCATCATATTACTTACAAACACTCAAAAACGTCCTTAAACTTAACGAAAAAAAAATTGTCAACAGAAGTGGCACACAACACACTGCGAAGAAACCATTGGGGATATTCAACTTTTTAAAGCAGTTCTATTTCTATGTTACCGTTTTTGTAGTAAATTTTAACTAAGATTATCGTCTCTGATACCCACCATTTATGATACAATAATGACTAACACATTATGATATTATTTAAACCATTTACATCAAAATTATAGGTAATTATAGGTAGGTTATCACATTTTCTACTACTATTTTACACAAAATTAAGTTTAAACCTACCTAAATTTAGGGATCTGATTTTAGAAATCTATATAAGTAGACGTTATTCGACAAAGAGTTTTTAATACATTAATAGTATCTCTGTAGATACTTGAAGTTTAGGAAAAGTATTCATGTTTAGTAATTATTAGAGAACAGCAAAATACTGATTTGCAACAATGTAATAGATTAAAAAGATGAAGAACTATCTATAACGGAACTAACACATAAGAAAGAAGAGCTTGACATCAACTAATAAAGACTTTGGTTGCTAACTCAACAAAACACTTAAATAATGGAAATATGTACTAACTTCCAAATAACGACCAACACAAAAGACATTGAAAAGTTTGAAAAAAATATAAAACATTTTTACGTTTCGTGTATAAATTAGACGCACTTTGTTTTTTTCCACATGATATGAATCATAAGTGATGTATAAATACATTTAAAAAAGAACTGCAGCCGAATAAGATATTTCGATTTTGTTGTCATAAAATTCAAAATTGATATACTGAATAGGTTAGATGATACGAAAACCTTTTCTCAAAATTGGTTCAAAATCATTTTGTTACATTTCATCCTAAATTACTTAGAATAAAAATACTCGAATGATATAATGTGTCTAAATTTTAGTGTATGGTGGTGGTACTCTAAAGTTAAATAGACTGCTGCATAATTAGCGTTACGATTTATAGCGTAGTAAATGAAAATATCAAGACTAGCTCTATTGAATGAGGGCAAAGTGTGTCAAACATCAAAAATACTCCATCTGAAAGTCGTAAAGATAAAGAATGCGCACAAACAACCATCAGTGAAACTGCCTTCGATTTATTCAATTACGCAATAGCTACAACATCCACGTGTTGAGCATGAGATTAATAACAACAACATACCAGTCTCTCGTAGAATTAAATTAATGACACTACAAATTCATGTGCTAATTAAACAAAGCTATATATGTCTGAAAGAAAATATGGAAACACGTAATTGTGATAGCAATATTTTCTTATAACAACGAATACAAATAAATAGTAAGCACTATTTCTTGGTAAAGACTTGACTTGACTTGACTTTAAAAAAATCTACACAGATTGAACTCAAATTCTGACACGATATACGAACAGTTTTGTTCTGCATTTCTTATCAATGCAACCACAACCACATTGTGCCACAGGGAAGCGAGGTAAGGTACAGCTAGTCATTTATGCAATCTAAATAAAACGATTTATACCTTGATGCGTTATAAATTGTTGGTCACTCACCGTCAGAACCTACAAACGTATTATAGGTATCGAATGAGATGTAACTGCAAATAAAACAATTTAAATAGTAGAATCGGGAGTCATTTAAAGTAAACTTTCAATTATTTGATAAAATGATCAACGAATACTTACTTATATTCAACTACTTAAATAAACACTACCTGACCTCTTTGTTTTTAAGTCGCTAGAAAGCTACTTATTTATTTTTACATGTATGACTATGAATTTTACTTTTCATTTTAATATTTCGGGTCTGGTCCATAACCAGATTTGGAGAAATTCGGAACTCAGAGGGAGTCCCCTTTAGAGACATCGCGATGTTCTGACAAACTGGCCGGACAGTTTCATTGTTACTGATCTATTCCACATTTGTGTTTAGGCACCAACAATATTTGACAATGGCTACTTCACAATAAGAACAAGTTCTGGCGATAATGTAACTCGACCGATTGCTGTATTCACTTTCTCTAATATTTTCACCCCAACCTAAATGTTAACTGTACGTTAACATTTGTAATTCCTACATTGCGATGTAAATTTAAACTAGCTGATTAGTCGATTGTTATTTTTCCCTTCTTAGAAGTATGACACAAGTTCATATGTAAGCGTAATGTTTAAAATTTGGTCAATAATCTTGATGAATAATAATTCGTACAAGTAGATACTAAGGGCTAGATGTGGTTTAACGGCCTTCAAATGATAACCACACAATTTAATGTACCTACTGCCTGATCTTTCCGCCTATAGTAGAGGTCAATCAAATACAATGTATAAACTTGGATGAAATATTAATAATTCAAATGGTTCTAAAATAGAGTTAAAGGCAACTAAGTACAATCCTTTACTATTAAAGTTTTAAGTTATATTTTCAAAACTAAAGGTTAGTATCCTTTTTACAAGAAACATTTAAGAGAAAGTTAACAAATTTGAGTTTCATTTTTAAATTTCGTTTACTAAAAAATTAAATCCAACACGCTACTTTAAGAGACCTCTTACGTCAAAACTCAGATACCAGCATCTATTTTATTACAATCTCAAATTTCTTAGTTCATTATATAAGCCGTAGATGGCATTATGGGCGCAATGTTATTACTGCCATCTATTTTGATTCCAATACACTTGAAACAGAATAGCTCCGGCTTGGCTTGTAAGCCACGAACGTGATTGCGACCCCAATTACACACCTCTAATTTTATCTCATTGTCCGAGCTTTCAAATAGAGGCGTTCCCTAAGAAGGGTGGTGCTTACAATACCCTAAATAAAAAAAGGGTCATCTTTGAAAAGTTCGTATTTATACCCATTGTTCACATATAAAGTAAGAACGCAACTCGAAAACTACAAGTCTGTAAATGTCATTGAATATTACATTTAGATAGTTTCACTAGAGCAAAGCTGTTTCAAGGTAAGACTTTTTTAATTCAATTCTTTCCAAATACTAATCAGAATAGTTAAAGAAAAAATCTTTTAAAAAGTAGACGTTACTAATTAGAATGGTTACTTGGTCCGATAGTTATTTTACATCTACATATTTAGAAAGAATGATTGGATACAATTTTGAAATGATCTATTGTTAATTATTTCATATTACCTAACACCAAAGTTTTCATAAGGACCGTCACCACATTATAGAATAAAAAGGCTTAGCCACAAAAGAGATAATAGTGCTTTTGTACCAAAAACACATTCATAATAAATAACTCAGTAAAGAGCAACTTCCAGAACTGAAAATGTAGAGTAAACTATATTTAAAGAAATTATATTTTATTTTTAAGACTTGATTATGATATAATATAGCATAAGTACTAAATATAATAGTAAGGCTAAGTGTATTGTTCATGGGGGAGTTGGCGCTGATAGTCAAAATACAAGCACCGCCTGGTTCGACTACAGAAGCTTAATTAATTTAATTAAAAGAAATAATAATACAGCCGTGCTAAGATGTAACCTGTAAGTTTCTATGAAATATAAATATCAATAAAAAAGCTCTAATCTCTGCACTACTTAGCGAAAGCCGGATACAATGCATACCACAGCGCAATAAACTATAATTAAAATGATGGCGTGGTAGTATATATTAAGGAGACTTTACAGGTTTCAATCAAAGAACTAACTTTACAAGACTGCAATTGTATAGTTATTAAAATTAGCGAAACAAATACAGCGATTATCGTTATGAATAGATCTATAAGAGCTTTGAATAGATCAGTAAGAAATTTGGACACCTTTCACAATTCCCTTAATCAGACTCTTCAAACTCTTACTGCTTTTAAAAATATTATACTTGCAGGTGACATAAACATAAATATTGGATGTGATCATCACGATACGGGAACACAAGACTACCTTAATCTGTGCTTCTCCCTGCGCACACACTGCGTTCCTGTCTCGATCATATGATGATCAAATCTATCTTATCATCACGTTTGTTACCATCTCGACCTTTACTGATCATTACGCCGTTCTACATGCTGTAAACGTAACGCTGTCGAGGCAAAATCGATCTACAATAAAAACTAATTTAAATATAAACAAGCTCGAGTATGATTTATGTAATGTTGATTTTAGCAAAGTTTACAATAGTGCTGACGCTAATGTATCTTTATCGTATTTAATACAGAATGTCTAACAAGCCATAAAGACAAACTCCATCAGAGTGCTCGTCGATCTCCAGATAATTTGGCGCTTCAAACTTCAACAGAAATTTCTGCCATAATATTTTGAGAAAATCAACTACGATAAATACCGTAAAGTGATTAGTGGGGCTACATGAACACCCAGGGGATACAAAAACACAACACGTACATGCTTTAACTTGTTTCACGAAAGTATGGTGTAGCTGCGTATTTGCTTTTTGTATTTTATTTCTGTTGTAATGAATAGTCAGTGTTGAAAAATGGTCTGACGTATCAAAAAACTCTAGGGTCAAAATCCTACAAGAATTACAAAGAGGATGACCTGAAAAAAAACTATGAATGCAGTTCGAGGGGGATGTCAAAGAAA